TCTCTCTCTCTCTCTCGACTCTGTCAGTCTCTGTCTGGTCTCTGTTGTCGCGTTGTCGCCACCTTGTCTGCAGTCTGGCTTTATTGGCACGCAGCACGTGGACGTGCACCCTCAAGTGTGAGATGTGAGCGTCGTGAGCGGCCGCGTTGAAGGTGGAGCTGCGGTCGGAGCTGTACGACTCAGCATCTCTGTGCACTCTGGCCGACGTCGACGCACGCCGAACCCCCCCACCCACCCACCCACCCTCTACACGCGCTGGTCCCGCCGCCCGGACGCTGGCCCCTGCCGCCCTCGTCCTCGCGAAATCTCCAAGTGTCATCGGGATCGAGCGCCACCTGCTCGTCGTGCCCCTCCGCCGCCCACGCCGCCGCCGCCGTCGCTATCGCCCTCAACGCCCCCAATTCCTCCGCCATCCACGCCGCCGCCAGCCCCGCCCCCTCCCACGCCGCCGCCTCCGGCACTGCCGCCGCCTGCCCCTCCGCCACCCTCGCCGCCGCCGCCGTCGCTGTCGCCCTCGCCACTTCCCACGCCGCCGCCTCCGGCACCGCCGCCGCCAGCCCCTCCGCCGCCCACCGCCGCCGCCGTCGCTGTCGCCCTCACCGCCTCCCTCGCCGCCGCCTCCTGCACCGCCGCCGCCTGCCCCTCCGCCGCCCTCGCCGCCGCCGCCGTCGCTGTCGCCCTCACCGCCTCCCACGCCGCCGCCTCCGGCACCGCCGCCGCCGGCCCCTCCGCCGCCCTCGCCGCCGCCGCCGCCGTCGCTGTCGCCCTCACCGCCCCCAATTCCTCCGCCTCCCACGCCGCCGCCAGCCCCGCCCCCTCCCACGCCGCCGCCTCCGGCACCGCCGCCGCCGGCCCCTCCGCCGCCCTCGCCGCCGCCGCCGCCGTCGCTGTCGCCCTCACCGCCTCCCACGCCGCCGCCTCCGGTGTGCCGCCGCCGCCGGCCCCTCCGCCCTGGCGAGTTGGGACACAAACCAGTTTGGGAGTTGTTGAAGCTGCCTGGAGGTTTCCATTAGTGTTTTTGAGCAGTTGGGGCAAGGAGCGGGCCCCTGAGCCCGTTTGATACCCTCCGCTCGAACGTTCGTCGCGACTAGCGCGCGCCCCGCGATGGCCTGGCCCGAGGCCGAGCCCCGACGAGGCGCGGGGGAATGTGTGGTGCGGCGTGCGGGGAACTCGGGTACGCGCGGGAAGTACAGAGCAAGTGTATTCAAAAAGGCCGTACACGCATAAAAGTTACGAAAACACCACACAGTATGTATTCTCTAGGTAGTACAGCAGCACCCGTAATGCCACATAGTAGTGTGCGTAGTACACCAGCACCCATGCCATACAGGGCACGCCACGTACGACGAGAGTCGGCCTCCCCACTGGCTCTGTGCAGCGCAGCATGCACCAGCACACGTCGATTGAATTGCAGTCTGCTCATGCTCACGAGAAGTGGATGATGTACGCGGGATAGATGTCCGCGCCGTTCTGCACGACGAACATCTCGGGGTTGGCCGGGCTGTCGACGAACGAGCCGTAGCGCATCTTGGGCACGAGGCCCTCGTGGATCTTGGGCATGTTGCGCAGCCCCTCCTCGCCGACTGTGGGCACGCCAACGACGACCAGGCAAAGCATCACCATCATGTTGCCCTCTCCGTCGATGCATGTCTTGCAGCAGTTGTTCAGCTGCCACGGGTAGGCGGCGTCGCGCGCACAGTACGTGCCCTGCCCCCACAGCGCGCGCTCGGTCGCCATTGGTTGGAAGCCGTTCGTCGGGTTGTCGATGATCGCCTCGACGACCTCGGCGCTGCCCGCGCCGTGGAAGAGCCAGCGCGTGTGCACGCCGCCGACGAAGTCGACGCCCAGCTTTTGGAAGGTGCTGTGGTGGTTACCATAGCCAACGTCGGTGCTCTCGTGCAAGTTGCCGTTCTCCACGCGCTCGATGTACGCCACGTCGAGGCTCGCCGTCTTCGAGTGCGGCGCGTAGAAGCGCGCGACGGTCGGCTCGGCTTGAAAGATGCCGACCACCGCCTTGTACTCGTCGGAGCCCTCCGTCACGCGGAAGCGCATCGTCGCATCGCGCCCCTTCCTCTCTTCCGACGCCCAGAAGCGGCGCAGCGAACGCGGCTCGAAGCCAAGGAACCTCTCGTGCGCGCGCCGCGCCTCGGAGGTGAACGCCGCGCACGACGCAGGGAAGGCGAACGGCGGCTTCTCTGCGAGTAGCGCGTCGATCAGCCGTGGCAGGCAGTCGTCGTGCATCAGCGACGCGGGAATGTGCTTGTCGCCCTTGCGCTGCCGCATGCCGCCCTTCTCGACCGTGTGGTACAGGTAGCACAGCCCTGGCGAGCCCGTGCGCATGAGTGCCTCGAGCGAGCCCGCCTCCACCTGCCCCATGCTGCCGTAGCCGCGCGCCCGCCGCCATATCTCCTCCTCCGAGCCCTGCACGAGCACGATCCTCACGTCCTTCGGCAGCTTGCTGTAAAGCACGCGGTCGATGTCCGGATGCGCGTTGATCATCAGGCAGCCAAAGTCGCCCTTGGAGAACTGGCCAGCCTCCATCATCCGCCACAGCTCGACCATGTACGCACCACCCCTGGACGCACAGAGAACGGCATCCGGCTTGAAGGACTCAATCGCCGCGACCACCGCACCGATCTCGTTCGCCATCTCGAAGTCCGCGGCCTCGGGGTCAGGGCAGAGCAGCCTCTTGACCTCAAAGCCAGCGCGCTCGACGATGCGGATCTGCTCGGGGTTTTTGAGAAAGCCGAAGCCGGGACCGACGGCGAGCACCTTCTTGCCACGGCGGTCGGGCTGCCCAGGGGCGGGCGGACAGAACTCCGAGATCAGGCCCTGCCACATCTTTGCGGGGTCCTGGCTCGTAAGCGCCTTAGCTGCGCGGCTTGGCACCGATCTCGAGGGGAGAAACTGCTCGAGGAAGCTGCGAACGGCTCGCTCGGTCGCCTGCTTGAGCGTGGTCGCCCAATCGGACCCCTCGACGCCGTCGATGATCTCGAGCAGCTTGGCTCGGAGCACGCACTCCTCCAAAGCGTTAGCCGTAAAGCCGAGCTTTGCGAGAGCGCGCGCGAGATCGGCGCTGGACATGACGCCCACGTGCTCTTTGACAGAGAAGCGCGCGGCGGGAGCAATGGACGGTGCGGCGGCGGACGAGGCGGAGCCCATGTTCTGCTTCTTGGAGCCGGGAGCCAGCTGCGAAGGCCCCGGTGCCTTCTTGCCAAGGACGGAGGCGGGCGCGGCGGCGGGCGCGGCGGCGGGCGCGGCGGCGGGCGCGGCGGCGGGCGCGGTCGCCGACGACAGCTTGACCAGCGCCTTCTCGGCGTACTTCTTCGCCGTTTTGTCGCCAGTGCGAGACAGCTCCGCCAGTGCCTGCTCGCCGCCGGCCTGCCGGATCGCCGTGCAATAGTCGGGGCCGTGGCCCGCCAAATTGCCCAGCGCCCACGCTGCGAACTGCGCGCCAGCGGTCCCGCTCGGCACAAGCTCGACGAGCGCTCCGACGCCGTCCGCCTCCTTGATCGCCTCTGAGGCGTCAGCGAGGCGAGCGAGATAGCCCAGCGCCTGCGCGGCCCACTCCATCGCGTCCTCGCCGCCGCTCCGCGCAAGCTTGACAAGCGGCCCGATGCCGCCAGCCTCGAAGATGCTGCTCGAGAAGTCCCGGGCGGAGAGCTCGCTGAGCGCGTACGCCGCCCACTGCTTCTCCATGCCGCTGCCGTTGCGAGCGAGGTCGACGAGTGGCCTGACGCCGTCAGCCTGAACGATCTCCGCGCACGCTTCGGCGCCGTCGGCTGCGTCGGCTGCGAGGTCGCCCAGCTCCTCTGCCGCTGCAACCTTCTCATCGGTGTCGCCGTCGCGGACGCGTGCGACGAGATCCTCGATGCTCAGCTTCTTGCCCGGCGCAGCGGCGGGCGCGGCGGCGGGCGCGGCGGCCGGCTCCGCGGCTGGCGCGGCGGCGGGCGCGGCGACGGGCGCGGCGGCA